CTATGGGAAGCATCTCTTGCTGCTGGTCCAGGACAGAGGCAGATGAAGATGCTTTACCAGGCTGATGGTCCCCAGGAGCTCCTTCGAGGCCATGGCCTGGCCATCAGTCATGATGGGCCATCCCAGTGGTCTCTCCGAGGGTGGGTGCTGAGGCCTCTGGAGCAGCCCCTCCCTGTTCCAGTGTGTTTCCCATGAGACAGGAGAGGAATGAGGCTGCTGCACCTGGTAGCCCCCTCCCCCAATTAAACCATGGGCCTGGTTTCCACCGACTCATCTGGCCCTAATGGCGGGCTCCAGTATCTTGAGGGACCCTCCAGGGTCCCCTTCATTTGTCTGGACTCTGCCCAGGCTCCTGTGGGCCAGCTGAGTCTCACCATGAATCGTGCGGATGGGACAGGACCCCTGTCACAACATTCCTCATCCCTCCTCAAGGACAGCAGGGGCCATCCTGTACCAGTTGAGTGTCTGGGCTTTGGGTCTATGTGCCAGAACAGGAGGACCAGAACGACCACTGGAAGCCCACCTGACGTCCCTAGGCAGGGCTGCAGGCAGTCCAGCCCCTGGGTGAAAAGCCTGAGCAGGAGAGCTAGGCTGTGAGGGTCTGGCCTCATCGACCCACCTTGGGGGGCAGGAGAAGCAGGGGCCTGGGAGCCTGAGAGCCTTGTTCTGGAGTGAGTTACCCACTCCTTGAAAGAGGACCCCCAATCCAGTCCCAAGCAACATCTTACAGACTGGAAACTGCAGCCCCAGGGCACAGCTGGCCACATCCCTCCCCATCTACCTGAGCCCCAACTGCTGGCCACCACAGAACCTCCTCAGGGGTGGGAGCCCACCTGGCCCAGTGGTCTTGGCAGCATGTTCCGAGCAAAGTCCCTTAGACGCCTCTGGCTAACTCCAGCTGTAAGGAGTCCTTTCAGACATCTAGGGTGGGCTGCCACCTCGGCCTGTCCCCATAGTGCCTGCATCCAGTAGAACATGGACGCACAAGGAGAGGAAGGCTCCGTACTACAGGACTCCTGGGAGAAGAGCGCACCCCGCTCTTGATTTCCTAAAGCTGCAGCATCACAGGGTCATGCCTGGGTCATCCAGTGGGTCACCCAGGAACTGGCAGTGCTCAGAGGTACCCATGCAAGAGTCACATGGCAACTGATGTCCAGGTAGGGTGGTGAGTGAGACAGTGAGTCCTCAGGCTTGTCCTGGGAGGGCACATCTTTGAGGCCACCCCCTGACACATAGCTCCCTCAGATGGCCCACCTGGAGGGAGTTTCCAGGGTCCACTGCAATAGGGTGATCACCTTCAAGACCATTTTGAGAGGTTTCAGTAAAACCTGGGCAAGAGCAGACCTTACAGGCACCTCAGAAATCTTACAGAATGCAAGGGACCCAGGCAGGGTCTGGCTGACGGGCCCAGGAGGGGTCTGGATGCCTCTGGGGCAAGGCCTGGCTTTAGTGGAGGGGGCCAGGGTCCCACCCCCAACTGAGAGGCCTGGCCAGCAGGTGCACTGGCTCACCTGAGGTGCCGGGGGTGCGGGGCTCTTACTTGTGGGCAGAGATTAGGAAAGATCTTCTCAAACCGGGTGGAGATTTTAAGTTCACAAAGTACTCAACTTGTCTAGATTCGAATCTTCAAATTCTGTCTCATGAGCCTGTGGTTTTCGTTTTAAAACAGGTCACCAGATTGTGCCGCTGGCCATCCCAAAGAGTATGGGTGCATAAGTGCTCTTGAATTTCCCCGGGCAGCATGCCAGTGTGCACTGTGGGATGGTTGAGGTGCCCAAGAGGGTCAGATACATCGATTTGTGATTCCAGTTTGAAACACCTGGGGAGCTTAATCAAGTTTGACATGTCTGCAAGATGTCTATATGAAGTTTAGAGATTTGGCATGGGTTCGATTCTCAGCACCACATATAAATAAATAAATAAATACATAAACAATAAAGGCCCATCAACAACTCAAAAAAATAAAATTAATAAAATCTATCCAAACCATTTAAAAAATGTTTAGAGGATTTAATGTATCAAGTATAAGTGAATGGAATGTTAAAAAATAAGTGGTGTATTTTCACACTAACACAAAAATTACTGGATTTATAAATAAACTTTTAGGTTGAGCTTTCAAGCTTGAAAAAAACTTGTTTTAAGTTTATAATTATAAAACATGCTTTTAGAGCTGGCGTTGTGGCTCAGTGGTGGAGTGCTTGCCTCACACATGTGAGGCACTGGGTTTGATTCTCAGAACTGCAGATAAATAAATGAATAAAATAAAGTCCATCAACAACTAAAAAATATTTTTAAAAGATATGTTTAACCCAGAAATACTACTTCTAGAACTTAACCCTGAAGATAAATCACCGACCAGAAAAAAACACATGTGCATGACTTAGCCCTGGCAGCACAGCACCACACTCAGCAGGGCACCCAGCGAGGCATGGCTGCACAGCCGTCCTCTGCCCCAGGTCCTGCTGGGCACAGAGCCCCGAGCATGCCTGAGCTGCTCCTGCAGCCACTGTGGACCACACCTTTATGAAGCCTAAGCTTGTGCTGGGGACGTGACTCAGGCTGGGGGCCCTGATGCTTCAGGAGGGGCTGGTCACCAGAACCCTGAGTCAAGGGTGACAGCTCTGCCCTCTGCCCTGGCAGGGTGTGCCCGTCCCCCGCCACCTTGCCCCCTGCCTTCTACGTGGCTGACCAGGTGTGCCTTCATGACAAACTGCAAACAGGAAATGGAAAATAAAATTACAGGGGCCACTGCTTTGGACTGGGCTCCTGTACTAGGCCCAACAGGCCAACCAAACCAGAATGGAGTCACCTCACGGAAGCTCCAAAGGCCAAACAAAAAACAACAACAACAACCAAAAAAAACGAAAACAAAACGAGGCTGTTACTTGTCCCACCCAAGGCCAGGAGAGACTCTAGAGTGAGTTCCCAACAGGCCAGCTCCAGTTGGCTCTAGTCCTCTTGCAGAGGTGACCCCAGGACACTAACCTTGAAATGGCCCATAAAGTTCTGTGATTTTGCTTCCCTCACTCTCTAAAGCCAGCACTTCTGCCCAGCACTCGATGTGATTGACATGCCTGACCCAAGTGCCTTCCTGAATGCCATCAGTTGTTCTAGAGGAGTACTGAGCCTGCCCAGGGGTCCAGGAGTGCCCGGGTCTGCCACCCAGTTGGACAGAAGTGCAGGTGGCCTGTGGATCCTGGGATTCCAGCTTTTGCCCCCTGAGAGAAAGGGCTTGTGGGGGTCTGAACCTGTGACCTGTGGGTGTGTGCCCACTCCAGGTAGCACCAGGACAGGATGAAGGACACGACCTGAGCTGGGGCCAGACAACTGGGGGTTGTCACTGTGGACAAAAGCCCTTCAGTTAAAGTCTAGGAAGGGAGCAGAAAAAGGAAAGTGTATCTGATTATTTTTGCAAAGGAGATGGAGGAAAGCCAAACTAGACACGAATAAGATGCATTTCCTGATGGGTGGGATGCGGGGGTGGGGTGGGGGTGGCAGGGGTGTCTCATCTGAGCTGACTTTTGGAACCATGTCAAGGTCTTACATAATAGAATAAAAATAACAAAGTGGGGAGAGGCCTAAAACAGAGTACGAGCAATAATGAGCCTCACCCCTCACCGTATTTCAAATCAATAATGTAATCTCACTGAGTGGAAAAAAGGACTAACTCAAATGACCTTTGAGTGTACACTTGGACTTTGTACCTTCAGATTAAAGACCCAAAAGACCCTAAGTTCCAGTTTGCAGGCTCCTTTTTGTCATGTTTGAGTTGCCGACTCTGATGCATTTTAGGACTGAGCAAATAAACACATGAAGGACAAGAGGGACTGGTCTTCTCCCAGTAGAGGGGGCTACAAATAAGGGGAGACTGGAGTCAACCCCAGGGTACTGCTGTCACATGAACTCAAGCAGATTTTACATGTGTGTATACCGACGTGTTTACAGAGAGGAGATGCAGGGTGTGTGTATAGTGTGTGCACAGAGATGGGGACATGAGGTGTGTGTGTGGTGTGCGCAGAGTCAGGGGACATGGTGTGTGTACAGAGACAGGGGACATGGGGCGTGTGTGGCAGGTGTGCACTGAGATGGGGACATGGTGTGTATCCTCCCAGATCTGCTTCCGACACACAGGTTCTGGTCCATGTTGTCTGGTCCACACTGGAGTAGGGGGCTCTCCTAGGGACTTCCACTGGGGGGCCCCCTGGATGCTAGTGCCCCTCCTGCTCCAGCCAGGACACAGTGGCCCCTCCTGCTTGGAGCTGCTTCCTCATGCCCCACCAAGTACTCTCTGTCATGGCCCCTAACTGCCATCACAGTCCCCAGGCCTGAGCTTACCTCCAACCAGGTGGGATGTCTGGGCCCCCAAATGGAAGCAACAGAGAACAGGTGCTTAGGTAGGCAAGGTGACAGATGGGGTCCTGCAGAGTTGCAAGCTGGCTTGATGGAAGGGCTGGTAGGAGTGAGGGATCTTCCCACTGGGCCCCCTGAGACTGTCCTGTCTAGCTCCCAGCTGGGGGCCAGAGCTCACAGACCCTGCAAGGCCCCATTCCCTATCCAGTGTAGCATTTGCTCATTGCTTCCTTAGGACATTCATAGTGACAGTGATTCCTCTTCGGGCAGAAACCCAGTGCAGGTGCTGCCAGGAGTGTGTGTGTGGGGGGTAACCCCAGGAGCGGGCTACTGCTAGACACTGGTGGCTCAAGGACCAGGCCCCAAACCCAGCAGACAAGCCGGGGATATGGCAGAACATGGGTTTGGCGGTTGACAGAGTCCACCCAGGACTCTTAGAATTCCATTGTGGCCAGTCAGGGCAAGTGGAGGACAAGGCCCCTTCGCAGGGCTATGGCCCCCAGCCCAACTAGCAAGGTAGTGGGATCTTCCTCAGCAAGAGCGTCCCTGATCCTCCGCCTCAGGAGCAGGACTTCAGGGGTCCCTCTGGGCCCCAGGAGCTCCGTCACATGGGGGTTGGGGGCGGGCAGTAGGTGCAGAAAACACAAAGGGCCAGTAGACGGGAATCTTTACTTACAGAAAAGCGACAGAGGCAGAGGCCCCCGGGGCGGGGCTTCAGCAGGGTGCCTGGGGGTAGGGGCACAAACACTGGGTGGGAGAGCAGCGGGGCGACGCTCTGGTCACAGGAGCTGGCTGGGGAAGGCTGCGAAGATGGAGGGGCTGGGGCTGAGCGGGAGGGGCGAGGCCCGAGGTGCAGCCCGCTCCCCGCCCCCCACGCCCACCGGAGGGAAGAGGCGCCCTGCAGCCCCTCTCCCGCTCGCCCGCTCCCTGCTCGCCCCGCTCCCTGCTCGGACTCTGCGTGGTGGGAGTGGGAAGGCGCCCGCCTGGGTGAGGTTCTGGCGGGCCGGGCCGGGCCGGGCCGGAATGAGGGGTTCCCAGGAAAGCCGAGAGGGGAGGAAGGAGTGTCCCGTGCTCAGAAAAGGCGGCAAGAGGTCAGAGGGAGGCCTCGATGGGACAGGTCAGCGCCACGAAGGGGCGGCACACCTACCCGGGCCAGGCTGGCTGGAGGGCCCTCACTGAGGGGCCGGGGGAGGTGCGCTACTCGCTGCCTCGCGGGCCTCCTCCTTCTCTCCTTTGGTCGAGGGCTGCCCGGGGGTCTCGGTGGTCGCCGCCGCCGCCGCGGCCGGAGTGGGCCCCTTGTGCACCTCCTTGGCCGCGCGGTAGCTGTCTCCCCAGGCCGCGGGCATCTCGGTGCCGTGCTTTCGGCTCAGCGGATAGGCCCCAATGGCTGCCAGGATGCTGCGGTGGCGCTCGGGGTCCATCTCAGTGTAGTACATCTCCAGGGTCAGCGGCGTACAAATCTTGTGCTGCGGGGGCGGGGCAGGGCGGGGCTGGGTCAGGGGCTAGCTGGGCCAGGTGAGCAAGGGGGGTTGGAAGTCCAGGCACGGGGTGCGGCGGGTCTATGGAAATGGAGATGGGTTCCAGTTAAGATCCACCTCCAGGTCAGAATCCACGGAGGCTTCGTGGAGCCACAGGACCAGGTGGTCGTGGTTAAGAGAGGGGCTCCCGGGGAGAAGCATGTCTGGCGTCAGCCTGGAAGGACTTGTGAAGTGTTTGAAGGCATGCAAGGGCCAGGGTGGTTTCTGCTGCTCCGTGCCCAGGCCTCTGGTCTTACCCGAAGCAGGAAACCATCTGGGCAGGTGAACTGGTCATACCAGATGGCCTTGTACATGATCAGCACGCAGCCCAGGAGGGCCATAGCGAAGGCGATCATCCTGGCAGTGGGCAGCTGGTGGAGGGAAAAGAGATATTTGGTTTAGGCAGGGAACCAAGTTGGCCAGCTTCCTAGGGAGAGCCCCCTTGGGGGCTGGGGACGGGAAAGGGATTACCATCCCCAAGCCTTGGCACCTTTCAGGAGGTCAGCCCCAGGGCCAAGTGCCCAGGAACAACTCTTCAGGGTCCAGGCTATGTTGGTGCCCCCTCTGATGGGATTCTGGAAGCATCTGCCACCCAGAAAAGTGCATGTGGCCTTTGACCAGCAGGTGCTTATAAGAACTTCTCCAGCAGCTTCCCTGCCCACATGGCACCCAGGGAGGTTAGTGGCCACCATGGCCAGGGTACTGTTTGTTGGGAACATCTCCAGGCCTCCCCAGTGAGGAGGGTGCTGGAGCCCCAGACTAGATGGACCTGCTGAAGTGCAGCCAGGCCTCAGTGCCTCTGTGGGGCCCTTCATTGAAGGAACTATGGGGTTAAAAGTGACAGATGTCACTTTTGAAAAATGAGAGGCTTCAGAAATAGTCCACTAAAAATTATTATTAAAGCCACCTTTAGGGGCTGGGGTTGTGGCTCAGTGGTAGAGCGCTTGCCTAGTGTGCGTGAGGCAATGGGTTCCATCCCTGACACTACATAAAAATAAACAAATAAAATAAAGGTATTGTGTCCTTCTGAAAAAAAAAAGCCACCATTAATAAAGAGGTCAAAAGATGAGGGAAGGTATTATGCCATATGTGCTACAGAAAAGTCAACATCTATATGACGCAGAAAGTCAGCAAGTAGCTTAAGAAAAAGACAGTGGGGCCGGACCTGATGGCGCATGCCTGCCATCCCAGCAGGTGGGGAGCTGAGACAGGAGGTTGTGAGTTCAAAGCCAGCCTCAGCAAAAGCAAGTAACTAAGCAACTCAGTGAAACTCTGTCCCTAAATAAAATACAAAATGGAGCTAGGAAAATGGCATAGTGGTTTAGTGTCCCTGAGTTCAATCCCGGGTACCTCCCCACCCCCCAAAAAAGGAAGAAAGAAAAAGAGAAGACAGTGGCCTGTTGAGGAGAGGCTACTTCCCTGGGAAGGGGCAAAAGCCCCAGCTCCGCACTCTGCAGTCAGCCTTGGAAGAAAGTCGGTCTGTGGAAGCTAAAGGTCAGGCAGGCTGGAAGGCCATCCTGAGTGGAATGACCCCCTGCTATGCTCTTGTGTCTGGGCTAGACCCAGTGGGGACAGCCCAGCCTAGAACCTGGACACCTGCAGCCCGGGCTGCCCCTCCACTTGTCCCTGCCCTGACTCCCACAGCAGTGAGTAGGTGTGTTACCCTGCGCCCTTCCTCTGGGTGGCCGCAGCTCAGCCTTTGTCCCTCCAGGTCTGGAAACTTCTTCGGCTGGTCTGGGGAGGACAGCTGGTATTCCGTCTGCGTCTTGATGACCACCTGAGGAGGGAGATGGCCATGGCCTTGCTGGACAGCTGGCAATGACCCAGGAGAGCCCTAACCTGGAAGTGTTAGGAGCCAGGGTGCAGTGCATGGTGATGGTGTAAAGCTGACCGTCTGCCAGGATCATCTGATGGCAGGCAGAGCTCCAGCAGCTCCAAAATGAAGCCCAGGGAGGTGGATGCTGTGTCTGCCCACCCTCCACTCTAAGGGGGTGAAATCTCCCTGCCATAGCTTCCCTTTTGGTAGCTCCACAGCTTGGAGCTTTGGCTCCCTCCTCCAGAGCCTGTCCTGACTCTCATAGTCTTGGGGCCCCTGCCATAGAGCAGAGCTAGCTCTAAACTCTGTGTGTTCTGGAGGACGCAGGCTGGGCCTGCCCATAGTGTCCACTGCTGGAGGAGAAGCAGTTGAAGCCCACCTGGAGAACTGTCCTCAGGAGACCCTACCACCAGGAACTGCCTGGCGTGGGCACAGAGCATGGCCCCTGCCTCCAGCTGGGACAGCTCCTACTGTCCTTTACGCCCAGAGGTCCTGGAGGCAGGCTGGGTTAGGGTTGAGCTGGGCTCTTTGCTTCCCACTGATGTCTGCTGAAAGCCCACCCTCCATTAGTCACTTGCCCAAAGAGCCCATCTCTGGCCCCCCATCCAGAACCATGCCTATCAGAAGAGTTTATACTATGGTTTGCTGTCCCTCAGGCTGCATTGTGGGCTGGGTGCTCAAATTCTCAGGCATCCTATGGCCAGTTTGCCCTGTTCTCAGATGGGAAGAGGGGCTCTGGATGAGGGAGCCAAACAGGAGGTCACTTTGGCTGTGGTCAGCTGAGGATTGGCTTTTCAGGACCCTGGCTCCACTGCATCTTGGAGGAGGTCACATCTATATGAACCTCACTCCTGTCTGTTCCCAAGCAGGCCTGAAGAGGCCTCTCCCCACTGGTCAGCTACTCACCTGGTCAGGGAATGGTGGCTGCAGCTGGCTGACATCCAGGGGACTGATCAGAGGGACACTGTCCGTGGCAGCCCCATCCTGGTCCCCAGGGTCTTTGCCTGGCTTCCCGGAGAAGCTGCAGCCCAGCTTCACCATGGTGGACAGTGGCCCTTGTCCTGCCCCAGAGACAGACAGGGTCATCGTTCAGAGGCCACCCTGTAGACAGTCATGTCAGCTGTCTCTGGAGTGAGAGGACCCCTGGCTAGTTCCAGTGCTCCTCCAGCCAAGGCTTTTTGTCTTTTCCTGACCCTGGGGCCCCTCAACTCTGCAGGGTGTGGTGCCTCTGGTCAGAGACTACCCAGACACAAAACTGCGGGGGGGGGGGGTCTTCCACCAGCTGATCTGTCCTAAAGGATATCTTAAGGGCTGCTGTTATGCTCAAAGGAAAAGATTCAAAGAGCAGTTTGAATTGGGTTTCCAGTGTTAAGCACATAGGCCCAGATAAATTTGAATTTCAGTTAACCAATGGTGACTTTTAAAAATATAAGTGAATCCCATGTAATACTCAATATGGGACATATCTATCCTAAAATGTCAATCTTTGTCTATCTGAAATTCAAATGCAATAGGGTATCCTGTGTTCCTCTGGCAGCCCTGCTGGAGCTACTGAAGGAGGGCATCTGCTAGTAAATTCAGACACTAATGGAAGAACATGGTCTTGTTGGTGCATGGAAGGGCAGATCTCCTGGAAACCCGATATCCCAGGACAGAATCCAGTGGCTTAGGGGAAGGAAGGAGAGGCAAGTCCCTTGAGCACTAGGCAAGTCAAGAGCAGACACACATTCACCTCTAGGCTGACCTCTGAGAGAAAAGGGGTGCAGCAAATGACCCTGAAGCTGACAGATGAAAAAAGAGCACAAAATACACTCAATTAAGAGAAGAGGTCCTGTGTCCACTGAGAAATGTAGTCTGCCATTAAGACCTCTCAAAAAGAACTCCTGGCCCTGTCAGCCTCACCGCTGATCCACCTCCGTTCCAGAAGGAATGAGGGGAAGAGGATTTGCGGACACCCATAGCCGAGGCCAGCACAGCTTGCACCTGGCAGCCTGACAAGGACACAGGAGAGGCAGTCACAGCTCATTCCCACCTGCAAATGCCAGAGCAGACTCCAAGTTAGATCCTAGCAAGCCATAGCCATCAAGATACAAAAAACGAGGCTGAGACTAGAGGACTGCAAATTTGAGGTCAGCCTCAGCAATTAAGCAAGGCCATACAACAGCAAGATCCTGTCTCAAACTAAAAAAGAAAAAGGTCTAGGGATGTGGCATGGTGGTTAAGCATTCCTGGGTTCAAAACCCAGTACAAAAAAAAAAATCTCTATCTTCACCACATTAATAGAAGAAAGAAGGAAAAACATCTGATGAATTTCAATAGAAGCAGAAAAAATATTTGACAGGATTCAACATTTATTTACTATTTCAGAAATCAATTACATATCAGGGACAGAAGGGATGTTCCTTAATTTCATAGAAGTCAACAGTAAAAACCCTGCAGTGAAGCGCACTGAACACAAGTCTGGTGCTGGATACCAGGAAGGAGGTAAGAATCACCTTGACCTGGTCTGTTTTGTGACACAGTAGCAGAGATCTCAGCCATGCAGCCACACAGGGCACAGAAATGAAACCCGAGCCTGGGACAAGAACAAGGAATGCTGTCATTGTTCATGGAAGAAACTGCTTTGGTGTGTAAAAAATCCAAAAATGCTACAGATAAGGTCTGAAAATGAGTCTATTGAGATGACTAGAGACAAAGTTTGCAAAGCAGGTATATTTCTTTATGCCAATGGCAAAAAAAAAGGAAAAAAATTTTTAAAAAGATTCTATTTAAATAGTATCAAAAATATGCAATGCTTGGGAACAGGTATAGCCAGCCAGAATGGGCAGGACCTCCATGTGGAAAAAGTTATTGACAGACACAAAGAGGAGCAGAGTCTCCTAACAGGCAGGGAAGGCTGTGGTGGTAGGTCTTGGAGGTCTCCATGTTGAAACGTGCCCCCTACGCAGCAGGGCAGCAGTGTATCTGTGGAATCAATGTATAGGACACAGAGAAGTCGGTGTTGCTCTCACCCAGTGAAGGGCGACATCTCAACACAGGTGCACCAATGCCTGTGTGAGAGGAGCTGGGGAGGGGCAGCAGGAGGCCACTGAGGAGGTCATCCTGCTGCTGACCCCAGTCAGGCTCTCTGGAGAGAGGTCCCTTGGAAGCATGTTTACTGCTGGTGACCCTGTGTCTGGCCAGACCAGGAAAGAGGTCATGTGGCACGAGGCTCTTCCTGGAGTGGTCTTGGGCCTGGCTTCTTGGCACCTCCCTTGGGCAGGTAAGCGACTGTACTAAGGGGATGTGGTTTCACGGTGCTTCATACTTGGCGCACAGCACACAACCCATTGGGCACTGGGTGCTGACAGTATCACAGTGGGAAGGCAGAGATGGACGATGAGGCAATGAGAATACATATAAAGGCCGGTCTAGATCCCCGGCAAGAGGATGGAACGACAGGAGAGGGTGCCATGCAGGGTGCCCTCAAGGAGAGAGGCGTTAGGATTTTCACGGAGTGCCATTCCGAGGTACACCAGCCTTGGCACAGGTCGGGAGCTAGGCGCAAGCATGTGGGAGAGTCCAATGCGGGATCGATCCGCTTGGGATCATCCGGGGCCAACTATGAGCTCCAGCTCCCCTGGCACTGCGTCATCTCAGGTTCCTACAGCAACGGGGCAGGACTCCAGCCACCCCACACACGCCTCTGCATCTTGTTCCAGGCCTCAGTGTCCGGGCGGAATGCTAGGAAGGGGGCTGTGCTTGGCATCACTCCCCGCCCCTCTCCACACACCAGAACATCCTTTAGGTCGCTGAGTCACGGAGATCCGCTGGGAAGGCGCGCTGGATGCATGCACACAGTAGACAGCTCTGAAATTGTGGGGAGTGGGCATCCTTACTCTTCCTACTGGCTCCTCCCCCACCCCGCTCTGTAATCCTGTCTGCGCTGCTGTTGTGGGGACAGTGCACCAAGCTCCAAGATTGGAGAGTGGGCGGTGCACAAGCTGTTGATGGACAGATGGATGATATCTCTGCTAGAGGTCATGTCATAGAGTCGCTTTCACTCTCACACCCCACCCAACTCTGGGACGTTGTGTCACGAGGGGAGGTGCCCGCGGGCGTGGATTATGCAGGCGAGCTACCAGCGCGTGCGCGGCGTGCGCGTCGGCGCGTTCATGACTGCGGACCTCTGCGGGTCCGCCCCTACCTCGCCCGCGCCTGTCCCCGCGGAAGGCCCCCACCCACCGCCCGACCAGGTGCTTTTGCCCCCCTGCCCTGCAGCGGTTGGTGATTTGACTCGGGTTGAAGCCCTGCTGAGCTGCGGGGCGCAGGCAAAGAGAAACCGGGGCGCAGTCTCCTGCGTTCCAGCCACCTGCGGCCGCATATCCAGAGCTGTGGCAGGTGGTTCTGGAGAAATGCCGCCTCCCTACTTTCTGGCCACTTCCTGCCTGTCATGCAGCCACCCCCATCACGCCCCCGACCCCCTGCAGGCAGCAGATCCTTGATGCTCTGGCCCAATGCCCCTTCTGCTACCCATCTTCTCCCCATTCCCTGTCCCTTCTCCCTGCCAATGTCTGCAGGCAGAGCTGAACAGGAGCTGGGACTGGCCCTCTCTGCCCACCTCGGGGATGCATAGCTCCCACTGGCTCTCTCAGACCTGCAGGGGTGGAGCCAGCTCATAGGGAGGAGGCTGCAGTCCTACCCGTCTGCTGCCCGCCTGTGCCTGATAAGGGGATCCCAGCAGCAGGTCAGGTCTCTGCAGGTGGGACACTCAGGTACTTACTGAACGTCCAGGTTGTGACTGTCCCCACTTAGGACTCCCCTGACATCGCCCACCCCCGAGAACCACCCCCATCCAGTCAGCAAAACCGGGCAGCAACTCCCGCTTCCCTGAGGACCTCCCCACCCCCCACTTCTGGTTAGCAGGATGGGCCTGGCCTGGGGACAGGCAGAGTCCCCAAGGTAGGAGGGTAGCTGTGCCTGGCCACCCTGGCCACCATTCAATCTGCCCAAGTGCTCCTGCATACACTTGCACCGTACACACACCCAGCACATCCCTGCACACGCACTCTCTCCTGCTCACACCAACACACCCTTGCGCTTGTCACATCGTTGCACACACCCCCCACACACACACACACGGGCCCCTCACCCCACTCCACAAGGAGAAACCTGGAAATGGCTCACAGGCGGCTCCTACTCCAGCTGCTGCAGGACGCGGTCGCGGGAGGGTGAGGATGCGGATGTGGATGCGGAGGATGCAGTTCCAGACGCTTCGCAGCCGGGGGCGGGGCGGGCAAGGGGCTGGAGCCGCGAGACCGAGGCTGTGGTTGCCGTGGTAACCAGGCTGGAGGAGGGACCGCTGCTACTGTGGCCGCACACACCCCCTCCCTCATCAGACGTTGGCCGGGAGCCCCTACCTTCACAGGCACGCACCTGACACACACCTCACACTCACACATGTAACACATGTAACACAGCATAGACACATCTCACATGCCTCAGCATAGACACATCTCACATGCCTCAACACCAGACACACACACACACCTCCTAGGAACCCAACACGTCAGACCAACACCACCCAAATCCCCACATAATCACCCCCTTAGGGCAGGGGGCAGATACTGGGACCAGCCCAGCCCAGGCTGCTCCTCCACCAGGCAGACCTTGATGGCACAGACCGCCTGTCCCCTCCCCTGCCTCCTATCCCTTGGGGCAATTGGGGCCAGACACAGCTGGGTTTGGCCCCCACTCACCCAGAGGATGGCCTTCTTTTTTTTAATATTTATTTTTTAGTTGGACACAATATCTTTATTTATTTAGTTTTATGTGGTGCTGCGGATCGAACCCAGGGCCTCGCACATGCTAGGCGGGCGCTCTACCGCTGAGAGACAACCCCAGCCCCAGAGGATGGCCTTCCGCTCTGTCAGCTTCTGATTCCTTGGGCAGTGCGCTTTCCCAGGGCAGCCTCGACTTTCCCAGTCACCGTGGTGACGACTGTCGGTAGGAGGCCCAGCATGCAGAAGGTGCTCCCAGTGCTTGGCTGAGGGTGTGTGTACCATGATTCATGCAGGGCTCCAAGCACAGTGCTGGCACATGCACTGTGCTCACTGCCATGTCCTTGGTGAGAATCCTGTTCCACTTGGGCACCATGTTTTTGATGTCGTTGAACACTCCTGTTCAAGTCTTTGGTAGACATGTGCTTCATTCTCTCAAGTAGATGATGCAGAGAGAAACTGCTGAATATTTAAATATTAAGTGTACATTTAGCTTTTAAGGGAATGCCAACGTGTTTCCTGGGCAGTAGCTTTACATCCCAGCAGTATGGGGCTCTCACCAACATCTGCTATTGTCTTTTTCATGGTATCCATCTGAATTAGCCACCTCTGGCTGCCAAAAAATTGCTGCAGATGGGTGATTTAAACAACAGACCTCATTTTTTCACTGTTGTGGAGATGAGGTCTGAGATGAAGGTGTGAGCAGGGCTGGTTGTTCCTGACATGGAAAGGAAGTCTTCTCCCTGGTCTTCACAGGGTTGGCCCTGTGTCTGTGCCCTAATCTTTTCTTATCAGGACTCTAGTCCTGTGGGATTAGGGCCCTCCCTAGCAACCTTATTTTAGCTTGTTGCCTCCTTAGGGACCCTAACCCCAAGTGCAGCTGTAGTCTGAAGGCTTAGAACTGAAACACAGGCCTTGAGGGGAGAACTTGGCACCACCCAGGCAGGTGCACAGTGGGCCGGCAGTGGTTTGCATCTGAGTTACCCTGGTGACTAACAGTGCCGAGCATCTTCTCAGGGCCTACTAGCCATTTGCAGACCTCTGGTGGAATGTCCCTTCAGTCAGGCAGTTCACCTTACATTCAAGTCGTGAGAGTTCTCTCTGTGTGCTGCACACACCCTTTCTTTGTTTTACGATTACTTGTGGAGGGGTGGGAGGAGACAAGCTGATAAACATACCTGTGTGATGGTCACCACAGTCAAGCTTATTAACACACACTCTTCCCGTGTACCACCCCTAGAACCTGATCATCTCACTGCTGGCAGTCTGTGTCCTGTGACATCCCATTTCCTGGCTCCACCGCACTGGCAACCAGCCCTAACCCTTTGCTTCTGAGTTCGACATCTTTGGACTCCATATGTGAGTGAGCTGGGCAGCATTCTTCCAGTCCAGCGTAATGCCCTTGGGGTCCATCCATCCACTGGAACAGCACAGTGTAGGATGGAGGCACAGAGAGAGTGGGCACCTTTGTCTTGTTTCTGTCTTAAGGGGACAGATGGCAGTGTCTCATCACTAAATACGATGTTTGCCACAGATTTCTTGTAGGTGCTCCTTTGCCAGGGTTTGAACCCAGGGCCAGGCTCTAGTGTTTTTGTGCTAAGAGCCAAGTACTATGGTGCATGGCATTTTTGGTTGAAAGGTGACGCCAGCTAGCCATTGAGATGATATGACTATGTTAAGATTTGCATTCATATGGATATTGGACTCCTGCGGTCCACCTCGGCCTGCTATGGGACTCCTGGAGAGTTCCCATTGGTTGGGGAAGTGCAGTAGGAAAGAGTTCGGGAGGAGGAACTTCCTCTTGGGATCCGGGAGAACGCCGCCGCGTGTGTGCCGATTGGCAATCTTCCCGGGAGCGTCCGGGGCATTGGCGGCAGTTTCAAAAATAAAGTTTGTTCCTGCTTGAGTGGCTTGTGATTTTCTGCCCAGCCAGACTGCGGCATTTTTGGTTTGTTTTTGGTAGTGGGGACTGAACCCAGGAGCACATTACCACTGAGCTCATACCTAGATCTTTTGATGTTTTATTCTGAGGTAGGATCTAAGTTGCTGAAGATTTCATTAAATTGCTGAGGCTAGACTCAAATTTGATTTGATCCTCCAGCCTCAGCCTCTCAAAACACTGGGATGACAGGTGTGTGCCACCATACCCGACTAGTCCTAGTTTTAAAAAAGTCTTTACCATAAACAGGTATTGGATTTTGCCAGATACTTTTTAGGATGACATGAGCTCTTTATCCTTCATAGTGTAGTACATTGATTTTTAAATATTGGGCCAACTTTGCATTCCTGGAATAGTGCAAATAATGTCTTTTTGTGTGTTGCTGAATTACGCTAATGTTGTACTAGTGAGTTCTGTGTCTGTGTTCAAGAGTGGTCTATAGTATTCTTTTCTCGTGATGTCTTTGGTGGCTTTGGTAGCTGGGTGTCCCTGCTTCATGGAAGGAGTGTCCTTGTTCCCGCTGTCGATGGCAGAGTGTTGGTGCTCCTTTTTGATGATTCCATTAGAAGTCAGCCACTAATTAAAAGTGCCGTCTGTGCTCTGTGTTGAGTATTTCTCTCTTGCTGGTCTCAAGATTTCCTCCTTGTGTTGGGGTTTCAACAGTTCAATTCTTATTTGGTGCTTTTTGTTTTTCTTTTATTTTTTAGGAGGCAGGGTCTCCCTGTGCTGTCCAGGCTGTCTCAGGCTCCTGGCTCAGGCCACCTCCATCTGGGCCTCTGGGGTAGCTGGGACTGCAGGCCTGTGTTGCCAAATTTGTTCTTTCAGTGAACTGCTTATTGAGATTATTTAAGACATTTCATCACACTTTTCTTTAGTTCTCTAAACACGGTTTCCATTACCGTTTTGGTTTTTTTTTTGCGGGGGAGGGGTTGTACCAGAGATAGAACTCAGGGGCACTTGGCCACTGAGCCACATCCCTAGCCCAATTTTGTGTTTTATTTACAAACAGGGTCTCACTGAATTGCTTAGCACCTCACCATTGCTGGCTTTGAACTTGAGATCCTCGTGTCTCAGACTCCCGAACTGCTAGGATTACGGGCGTGTGCCACCTTGCCCAGCTCCATTGCTTTTTATTTGTGAAGCCTAACACCTACATTCACTCAGAGGAAGTTTCTAGAACTAGCTTTCCCCTAAATACTGGCCATGCTTTTCCTGTTCCTTTGCCTTGGGTTGAAAGCAGGTGCCTTAACCGGCTCAGTTGCAGGTCACAGGCCACACTGCTGCAGGGTGTGATGGGGGAAATGGGTGAGAGGCAGGGGGCACACGGAGCTCGCACCTTCTGTTCACCTTCTCACTAAACCTAAAATTGCGCAAAAAATGAAGTCTATGAATTTAAAAAACTAGATGTTTTAGATAATATGTTGAGGCCTTGAAACCTGACAACTGGCCTGTTGCTCTCTTGCTTGTGGGTTTAGTTACCTCCCTGGACTGAACCTCGTGGCATGTGGCACTGTGTCCCCATGTGTCTTCCTCAGCCTGGCTCCCTTGTGCTGCCCTGTGTGGGCTGGTGGAAGGCCCACAAGTCTCCACCCTGGGCTCTCCCTGTGGCTGGGCATGCTGTGTCTAGGTGGCACTGGGGCTCTCCTTCCAAGTCTCTGGCCTTCTTTGAGCAAGTGTGCAGGGCTTGCTGCAGCTGGAGGTAGGGGGAGAGGCCAGAGAGATGGGGAGAGCTGAGCCCTCATCTTGCGGTTACCCCAGTGTGGGGGTCCCAGGCCCAGGTGGTTGCCTCTCTGCTGGGTCTCCTTGTTGAGGCTCCAGCTGACCTGCAGTCATTGCTCGTCCCACTGGGAGGACTCTAGCTCCTGAGCCGCTGCCTGTGGGCCTTTGCTACCCGGCTGGCTGGCACTGGGTGGCCCAAGGCGCTTTGCACTCTTACCCAAGGTGCATCACTTCTTGCAGCGGCCATTTCTCAATTGTTCATGTTAAAGTTTCAGATTCTAAAATTGTTTTGTGATCCTCACTTCATCCTGTCAAAATCCCAGTCCTGGTTTTGGGAAAACTCAGTTATGGGAGGGCTGGCAGTGTTACCGCTTTTGACCGGTGACGAGTCCTTGCTTCCCCGATGTTGAAGAATAACACCAAGAAGCACGCCGAGGCCAGGTCAGAGTAGAGATTAGGAGTTTATTAAAGGACAGCAGAGAAGACTTCTCCCAGAGGAAGAAGGGGACCCAAGAGGTGGAATCCGTGGAAGTGCGGTTGTCTCCCCTTTTTAGCGTTCTTTCAGTGATGGAATGTAGGTGGGAAGGCCCGAGGGGTGGGACACAGGTGGGCCAAAGAAGTAATCTGGGCAGGAAGGACTTCTGAGTCAGCACCTTCAAGTTTGCTGGGGGCCGTTCATTAACACTTCTTTGGGATGGGCTCTGGCCTTGGGCTTTTCCCAGACTTCATTAACATTCCATGAGTTGTCCTGCGTTTCCGGAATCATTCCCAGCATGGCCTCCATTTTAGATTTCACTCGATATTAGACCCGATTTACCTAACGACATTGACTACCTAACTTTAAATCTGGCTTCAGCAGCTCAACCCCATGGCCACACTGCCCCAACGCTGCCCTGACAGGCTGGACAGGGGCAATTTGAGGGCAGGGCTGGGACAATCCTCAGGCTGAAAGCTCCATCCAGCCACACTCTGTCAGTACCCTCTCCTCCGGGTCCCAAGGCCAAGGCCTGCCCAGGCCGGACACCTTCCTGGTGTGTCCCAAGGAGAGAAGAGTGAGTGTGGGGGATGAGGGCACTGGGTGGGATGGCCAGGGTGCTCTAGCAGGCCAGGCAGTGGGGTGGGCAGGTGGGTGACCTGGAGGTTTCTCAGGGAGTCAATTCCTTGGGAACACCTGGGTTCCAGGTTGAGGTGCGGCTGGGCAGCGAGATTGTGGGACCCTGACCTCTGGCCAGACACGCCCGGCTGAGGAAGACACAGGCCATAAAGCCGAGCTGCCTGTGTGGGGAGGGACCAGGAGGTGCCTGGACCTGTGGATCTGTGACTGCGGCTCCTCAGAGCACTCTACCCTGAGAAGGAGGCCCGGCATGAGGAGGTGAGGCTGCCCCCGAGCCCCAGCTGCTCTGCCCACCCACTCTGGCAGTGGCAGGGCTGGGCATGTGGTCAGGGCCATTGTGGCTGCAGGTTTTAGAAGCCTAGCTCAGAGACTGCCTGACTCTGAGGAAGGCCAGGGAGGGAGTCGCTGTCCACAGACTGGGGTTGGGCCCTGCTGGGTGGCAGTTCTGAGAGGCTGGCTCTTCCCAGGTGGATGGGGACGGGCAGAGCCCGCCCCTGGGGCCCCCTGGTCTTTGTCCATCTGATGCCCCCAGATGTTTACAAGAGTGCCTTGCCCCCTGGGGCCCCGACCCTGAGGAAAACCACCACAGGCCCCTTGGAAGGAAGGGTGCCATGAGGCTGTCAAGGCCCAGGAGAAGGGATGGGGTTCGAGAAGACCAGAGGCAGCTTGAGCTGAGTGAGGCAGTCCGCAGGGGCCTGGTGCTGAGGACAGGGTGCGTGTCCCTCCCACACTTAGCATAAGAACGGGCCTCTGTGGGGGGGGTCTTAGGAGTAGGCAGGGCAGCTGAACCCCACCAGGCCAGGTCCCCCACCCTAAAGTGCTGAGTCACCCTGGGAAGGAGAGCAAAGGTGTCTGGGAGGCTGCAATTCACACACAACACACTTCACATGCAAACTGCACTCATGCAGACCACACACCATGCACACTGCCCACACCCTAAGCTCTCCTTCCTGCCTGGGGAGGGGGCTGTCTGCCCAGTGGCACAGCTGCAGGGCTGTGGCTGTGTGCTGGGGTCTCTGCCTCTTATCAGCGAGGTTGTAGCCCTCACGGGTACTGGGAGCTTTCGACTCCTCTCACTCCTGAGGTGTGTGTGTGCACATGTGTGTGCGCGTGTGTGTGCAGGGTCCCTCTGAAGTTCTCAGTACTGCCCCTCTGCCCCACTGGTGGCCCAGGGCAAGCCTAGTGCCTGACTTCTCCAGCCCTTCTCTGTGAGATGGGACCCTACTTGTGGACCACTCCAGGACTCCAGCCAGTCCTCCTGAAGGCAGAAACCATCAGCCCCTTAGCTGCTCAGTAGGGTCCTGCCAGGGTGGGCTGAGGGCTTCCTGGTGGGCAGGTGCAGCCCTCTGCCTCACACTTTCTCCCTGGCCCCCAGGCTCTTCCTGGTCACCTGCCTGGTGCTGCTGCAGGAGGTCCTTGCAAACCCAGCACCCCAGGTACACATGCCTGCCCCCACCCACTGTCACCTCCTGCTCCCTACCAACCAGGATGTTGGCAAAGGCCCTCCCAAGCCCATGGGCACTGAGTAGGGCCTCAGGGTCTCCAGCTGGGGACATGAACCTCCATGGCACCTAGGAAGACCCCCCCAGAGGCGGGCCCCTTAGATGCTCACCTGGGTGGGGGCCTAGCTGCACTGTTCATGCTGTTAACATGGTGGCCTGGGCTGGAAGTCATAGGCCTGCCCTGGGTCCAGGCCACTCAGCTTGTGTCCCAGAGCCATCAGGATCAGGGAGGCCCGCCCTTCCCGCCACTCCACGGCTGCCTTGGCCAGTCCCCCCGGGCTCCCCTCTGCTTTGCTCTTCTCTCCCCACTTTGCCCCACTGGGTGCTGGACTCAGGGGGCTGCCCCACAACCAGCCAGGGAGTGGGGTGTAGGACAAGCCCTAACTTGCCTTTGCAGAAGATAGCCAGTGCCCCCAGGGCTGGTGGGTGAGTGGGACTGCTGAGCCAGGGTGAGGCTCACATCCCTGCCGGGTCATTTGGGGACAGGGAAGCTGGTCAGTCTAGGTGGGCTAGTCATCTGGGGACAGGCTGGTGACTTCACTTCCCTTGCTCATAACCCTGATATCCCAGGTGGCCGTGTTCTGGCCTTTAGTTCTCAGAGACGCTCACAGAGGGTGTTGAGCTGGCCGGCCTTTCCTGTAGCCCCAGGTGGACCTTGGAGCAGCCTCTGCACCATGTGTCCTTCAATCCAGCCCCCTGAATAGCAGTGCTCACACCTGTGACTCACTCTCTCAGGTCCCTATCAGGACCAAAGGCAAACATGAGCAGGACGTGGAGAGGTAAGTGTCCCCAGAAGCCCTACTTACTCTCCCCTGAAGCCTGGACCTGTTGGACCTGGGGTGCACATGGTGGGTTGAGAGGAATCCTGTCCTGGAGTTCTCCATGGGAGGCAATTCTCAGGGCCAAAAGGTATCCATCCATCAGCAACAAGCTCTGTGCCAGGAGCAGGGGACCCTGGGGGCTCTGGCCAGCTCCCCTACCCACTGGCCCTAGGCTGGCTCAGTCTTGGAACAGGATGGCTTCTCACCTCCCTGGCCCTTGAGGACCCAATGAGAGAGGGTTGACCAGCATCTTGGGGCTGCTGAGCACTCTCTTTGGTGGGCTGGCTACCTGCATGTGGACTGACTTAGCTTGTGGGCAGGGCCTGGGGCATCCAAGCTGTAGAGCCTCTGAAGAAGGATGGTCAGTTGGTGGGGCTGCCCCCAATGCTGAAGCTGAAGCTTGCAGCCTCCGAGGAGAAGCACCCAGGTAATCTGGGGCCAAGACCACACAGGGGGACCCCAAAGGGATAAGCTGGAGAACGTGCCAGTGGACAGGCCAGTGGAGGGAGGGCCTGGAGATAGGAACTGAGGCTACACCTCCATTTATCTGTCTCTAGGCCCCAAAGCATGGGTGCAGACTGAGGACATCCTGGGCCGTTTTCGGATCCCACAGCAGGGTCCTGAGCTGGATCTTGACAGTCTGTACCACCCTCCAGTGGAGGAGGTCCAGGGCAAAGAAAGGCCCTGGTCCCCAGTGCTGCTGCCTCGCCAGGTGCTCGAGGGACCAGAGGAAGACCTAGACCACATCTACCACCCTATGGAGGACTCCAAGGAACCCTGACTGCTCTCCACCTCTGCCTGAAGTCCACCTGCTGCCTCTGCTAATCCTTCCCAGCTAGAAAAATAAATGCCTGCAAACAGAGGTGGAGGGCCACATGTGTCCTTAGACCAGTGACGAGGGGGCCTGTTCCTTCCAGGAGGAGTGAGCTGTGTCTGCCCCTTCTGTGGCACATCAAGAGCCTTCCAGGCTGCACAAGGGCCAGCTGACCCTGGCTCTGACTACTCTGGTCCCCCAGGCTCACCCCGTGCATGTGTGGATGGGGTGAGGTGTATGACGGTAGTGAGTGGTGGGAACCAGCGGGGAGCACTGGACCAGCCTTAGCAGAAAAATGGAGTTTAATCTGAGCTCCCCACAGAAGGGGTCAGAAAGGAGAGGACTGGGGAGCAAGAAGATGGCATCAGTGGGCACTCAGGTGAACAGGTGCAAAAGCATGCTGGTGTACCAGTGGACAGATAGCCTCAGGAGTTAGGTGCACCAGTGCACAGGTACACAAGTATACAGGGGCTCAGGTGAGTGGAGCAGGACACAGGCCAGGACACACTTTCTGACCAGATTTTCTGGGCAGCTGCCTAGCTGTATCTTGGGGGCCAGTCCTCCTCAGGTTCTTGCTCAACAGACCCTTGCTTGGCACGGGCACAGGCCACTTGGGTTCTCACACACTGGATGCATTGCGGTCTGGCAACCCTGCCCTGCAGAGAGAGGGAAGGACCAGGGAAAAGTCCCAAGTCACATTCTTCTGGCTCAGGCAGCTAAGATGGAACTGAGGCAGCTCTCAGTCCTGGGTGCCCATCCTGCACACACTGCAGTAGTTTGTCCAGGTGACCTCGTGTGCCCTCAAGTTCTGTGTCTCCTCGCCTGTCTCTACTCCCTTGAGGATACAAATGGTAGCCCTGAGGGCTCATGCCCACGCCTTGGCCTCAAACCCTGTGAGCAGGAGCCAGCCTCCCCACCTTGCGGATGAGCTGGCCATGGTGGAACAGTGAGTGAGCTTCAGGGTCTTGCCTGAGAGGGCCGAGCAGGTCCTGCTTCGCCTTGGTGCACCTTCCCTGATATCCTGGTACCCAGTCAGTGGGCACTCTGAACCTACCTGTCCCTCCTCCTGGACCACTCCTGGCAGGACAGCATTCACAGAGGCTCCAAAGTCCCGCCCGAGTCTCAGGTGGGCAGAATTCCTGGGGCATGTGAGGGCTCAAGGCCCCAGGCTGACCCACGTCGGGCACAGGTAGTCGGTGGCCCTGAGGTCTGGTCTCCCCATGTTGACCCCTTCACCCTCCCTGGGTCTCATGGGTTACTGGGGCTGTCAGGCTCAAAGGCTGCCACTGGCTTAGGATGGTGTTTGTGGCTAAGTCTCTCTGTGGTCTTGCCTGAGCCAGGACCCCCTGTGGACACTTCTTTAAACTCCTGAGTGTGACCAGGAAACTCAGGATTGTGCTGTCATGGTGGGCAGGCCAGGTAGGCAGAAGGAAGCAACTGGCCAGCTCAATCCTGCAATTTGAGAGCCTGCGGGGAAGGTCAACCACCCCAGTCAGGTGTGGCTCCTTGGGAGGTGCTCATCTTAGGTCACTTTCCTCTGTTCTCCAGATGTGGCTGGTCAACACATCTGGAGAACAGAGGAAGTGGTGGAGGGCTGAATTCCAGGAGGCCTAGGAGGCACAGCTTGGGCTTCACTGAGTGCAATGGCCTAGTGGGGACCTGGGACACTGCCTATGGAACTGTGACCAGAGATGCTGCACAGGGGATCTGGCCTCAGCCAGCGGTGCCCTTCACTCATCCTCACACACCTGAGCTGATCCCCAGCCTGGGAGCCACATCCTGGTTCAACATCTCCACTGAGTGGACTTGTGGCAGGGTGGCCTCTGCTCTCATGTGCCTCTGAAGTTTAGCTGGGCCCAACAGACAGCTGGTGGGCATAGGTACTCCCCAGAGAGAATGGACCCAGACTTGAGTCTGATGTTAGCGGAAATCGGACACGAGAGTTGAGAATTGACATCAGCCAAGACAATCTGTGCATGAGAAACAGACCCAGAAAAGATGCTCCACACCAGCAACTGTCGGGGAATGCAAATTAGAACCTAAGGGATACAGGATTCATTTGTTCAACAGGATGGAACAAAGTCAGGCCACAATGAGCACCCAGGAAATGGAGCTGGATGCCCCCTCGTGGTGGGAATGTGAACTAGCACAGCTACCGATGAATAGGGGTCCGGCAGGGGACATTGCTTGTAATCTGATTTAGTCAGCTTTTTCCACTGCTGTGACCAAGGGGACCCGACCAGGACAACTGTAGCGGAGAAAAAGTTTATTTAGGGGCTCATGGTTTCAGAGGTCTCAGTGCATAGACAGCAAACTCCATTCCTCAGGGATCGAGGTGAGGCAGGACATCATGGCAGAAGAATAGTAGAGGGATCAGAGAGACTCCACTCACCTGTTACAAATATATACCCCAAAGCCATGCCCCAATGTCCCCTTCTCCAGTCACACCCTACCTGCCTCAATTTCCACTCAATTAATACCATCAGGTGATTAATTCACTTATTATGTTAAGACTCTCATAATCCAGTCACTTCTTCTCTGCACCTTCTTCCATTGTCTCACACGTGAGCTTTTGGAGGATACCTTACATCAAAACCATAACACCAGGCCTCTCTACTCTATACCACCCTCACTGGCATCTGACATGATCACTTTTGGCCATCTTCCCTGCAAAGTGTCCAGGCCAGCCCTGACACTTGTCCTCCTGCTTAGGGGCGAGCAAGGGGTCCTGGTCAAGAACCACCTGTGTCTGCAGCTTGGGGCTGGTGCAGAAGCCTCCACCCGACTCAAGTCACCCAGCAGCCACTGAACCCACCTCCATCCTCCTGCTGGCCCTCTGCCCAGCCCCCAGCCCCAGACCTCATTTCCCACTTCACAGCTGAGGATGCATCAAGGGTGGGCAGGGGCCTCTTCTTTGGGGATCCAGTAGCTGCCTTGAGCTCAGGGCTAAGTCCATGAGAAAGAGCAGAGTCTTTATGCTGAAGGCTGACACTGACTGCATTTCCCCGTCATTTTCATAAATCAGGGGAATTCTGGTCTTCAGAGCCCCCCAGATCTGCCAGACCCTTGATCCCTGGCTACGACCTGGTCTGGCTGTGCCCTAGGAAGGGCTGTTGGTGGGGCTCAGGGCATCGTCCACCCTCTGTCCCTGGAGTGGTCTTCACCCTCAGGAGGAGCCCAGCTGAGCTGGGGCAGGAGCAGAGGCTAGGGTCCCCTGAGCCAGGGTCTGAACTCCAGACACAGAATGGATCCCATTTGCTCTCATCCTCTGAACTGAAGGTCCAGACACCAGCAGCCTTGGGCAAACAGGGACCCTGTCCACCCAAATGCCCCCTTTGGGTGACCTCAAGTCTCAACTGGACATGAGCTAAGCAGGGGTAGGGGTAGGGGTCTCCTCAGGAGCACGAACAGGGGCACACTTGGGCCAGCTGGAACTTATCCAGTTGCAACAACAGCAGAGGCCTTTTTCATAAAACTCAAATCTCTTATCTTTGCCAGGGCTTTCTGGAAGAGAAATGGGCCACCTAGAGGGACCTAGCTGAGAAACCCCAGCAGGTGGGCCCCGAGTCCCTGGGCAGGAGGTGGGGGCACTGGGAGTCACGGCCCTCTAGTCCACTTCTCTGGTTCTCCTGGTGCAGAGGTCCCCAGGGTGCTCAGTCTTGGATTTTTAAGGACTGGGCAGTGGGTATGGGGCAACGCTCATGCCCTGTCCAGGGCCTCTGGTGGACTGGGTCTGAGGGCAGCTTGGCAAGCCCTCCAGTGCCCCCGAGCTGCCCTGGGGAGTTGCCTCCAAGACAGGCCCCTGGACTGCTCCCTGAGGTAATTCTTACTCAAGATCTGCCAGTGGGCTGGGGGGTGGGATGGGTGTGTCCACTCACTTGGCAGGGTAATGAAGCCAGATTTAAAGTTAGGTGGTCAGTGTAGTTAGGTCTAATATCCAGTGAGATCTAAAATGGAGGCCATGCTGAGAATGAATTCCGGGAAAAGTTGAACAACTCCTGGAATGTTAATGCAGTCTGGGAAAAGCCCAAGGCCAGAGCCATCCCAAAGAAGTGTTGATGAACGGCCCCCAGCAAACTTGAAGGTGCTGACTCAGAAGTCCTTCCTGCCCAGATTACTTCTTTGGCCCACCTGTGTCCCACCCCTCGGGCCTTCCCACCTACAGGCCATCACTGAAAGAACGCTAAAAAGGGGAGACAACCGCACTTCCACGGATTCCACCTCTTGGGTCCCCTTCTTCCTCCGGGAGAAGTCTTTTCTGCTGTCCTTTAATAAGCTCCTACTTTCCACTCTGACCTGGCCTCGGCGTGCTTCTCTGGTGTTGTTCTTCAACATTGGGGAAGCCAGGACTCGTCACCGGTCAGCAGCGGTAACAGTGTGAGCCATGTGGCTGCAGAGCATAGCCAGGATGGGGTGGCCAGCAGGGAGACCTGGGGCCTGGGGACACATCCCTGGAAGGTCGGGAAGTCCAGAGCCCCCCTCCCCAAAGCTGGCTCCACTGGTACAACCTCTCCCCAGTCTGCTTCCCCACGCCCAGGCAGATAGGTCAGGATCCTAGGAGGGAGGTGGGAAGCTAGTGGGCCGAGAGGGAGTCAGCCACAGCCAGATGCACCTCTTCTGTCCCAGCCAGTGGACAAGTGCCTGTGTTCCTGAGCACTGTGTGCTGTGCATCAGGGCCAGGTGGGGGCATCTGGAACTTCATCTTTCACTCTTCTGAGCCTCCAGGAGACAGAGTTCCTATCCCCGTCCCACAGCCTCACTGTGCAGCCCACCATAAACAGACTCATGATCTTTCCACAGTGATTCTGCAGTCCCTCTCCTTGTTGTTGGGCACCAGATCCATGATAGCAGCCTGGGGGCGGGGCAGGGGTCAGCTTTGTGGTCCTGGGCACCTTCAGAACTTCCCAGCTAGAGATGATTCAGGGCTCCATGGATCTGGTTAGGAACCCTTTCCACCACCTACTCCAAGGTAGGTGACCTGTGAGATACGGGAAAGGGACACTGAGGCTCAGAGCAGCAGTGTAGCTTTGGGGCCTTCACCAGGCTCC